CCAAAAGCTTTAATGCTTTCTTATGATACTTTTGGCAAACGCAGCCCTGTTTGAATGCACTGTCAGCAGTGAGTGAATGCTCTCTGTGATGGATTGGTTCTGTCTTGCAACATTTGCGTGTTCAGATGAGCAGGAAAATAGTTCTATCCTACACAATTACTCGCTAACAAAGGTTATTCGTCCAATTCAATGCATATTGTACGCATTATTATTATTATTATTATTTTTGTTAAATAAACAAAACCACTGGTAAATAAAACACACCATAGTATCGATATTTTTGTTTGAGTATCGATACTTTCGATAACCGTGCCAGTTTCGATATATCGATACTTCAGATCGATACGCCCATCCCTACCCAAACCTGATATAATGCTTCTTCAGGCAGCAGTTTTTTTTTTTTGAGTTGCATATTTGAGATGAGACAGTGATCAGATTTGGGCCTGTTTCTGACACAAAGCAATTGTTTGGCCTTGAAAGACTTGGATGTTTTGAAATATTAGTAATTTGACATTTGCATCCATCAGTTTCGTTTTGTTTGTTTGTTTGTTTTTATGCAGTTGATGCACTTGCTGGATGGTGAAATTGTGATGAAACGATGGGTTTGATGGAACCACAAGCAGTTCTGTCTTGGAAAGGTTGAGTTGAAGGTGATGGTTCTTCATCCAACAAGAAATGTCTGTTAGACAAGCTGAGATGCGAGCAGCTATCGTCGAATCATCAGGATGGAATGAGAGGTAGAGTTGAGTGTCTTCAGCATATCAGTGATATAAAAAGCCATGTTTCTGAATGACAGAACCTAGTGATGCCATGTAGACAGAGAAGAGAAGTGGTCCAAGAACTGAGCCCTGAGGCACCCCAGTATCTAGATGTTGCGACTTGGACACCTCACCTCTCCAAGATGCCTTGAAGGACCTATCTGAGAGGTAAGACTCAAACCACTGGCGTGCGGTTCCTGAGATGCCATTTGCCAATAGGGTTGACAGGAGGATCTGGTGGTTAACCGTATAAAAAGCAGCGGACAGATTCAAGTATTGAAGATTTGGAAGCCTCTCTTGCCAGTCTTAGGGCTTCAACAACCGAGAGAAGGGCAGTCTTGGTTGAATGTTCACTTCTGAAGCCAGACTGGTTCCTGTCCAAGAGGATTTTCTGTGTGAGAGAGGCAGAGACTTGGTTAAACACAAGTCATTCAAGTGTTTTTGCAATGAATGGATGAAGGGATACTGGTCTGTAGTTTTCTAAAAGTGCTGGGTTAGGAGTGGGTTTCTTAAATAGCCTGCTTAAATGTTGAGGGAAAGACACAGTGTGAAGGGTTAATGATGTGTTAGTGATGTGAGTGAGCGCAGGTAGAGTAGATGGAATAGGATCAAGTGGACAAGTAGTAGGATGATTGGAAAGGATGAGTTTGGAGACTTCAGCCTCAGAGACTGGAGAGAAGGATGAAAACGAGTGTATGTTTGCTGGTGTGTTTGATAGCTTGTGGTGGGGAGAATTGTGCACTGATGGTTGCAATTTTATTAATTAAGAATGTAGCAAAGTCATCAGCTGTAAGAGTGAGGACAAAGGAAAGAGGAAAGTGTTTTTAAGAGCATACAAGATTTAGATGAATTGTTAAATCAGTGAACTAAGAATTTTATTTCCAGGACAAAGGGTTTTAAAGTTAAAATCAAAATAAATTAATTTTTTTAGCTGGTGGTGGCGCTATAGTGTTGGTCCTAGAGACACCGAAGTTGGACTGCCTTTAAAGCTATGTGTGCCAAATTTAAGAATTTCCCTAAGTACGGTTCACTAGCCTACCATGGATCAACATTCGGGAAGATGACACGGAAGAAGAATAAAAAGAAAACCAACAAAGCAATACGGACTATGCACCCGATTAAACAAATAATACTAACTTCTTCAGCAAAACAAAAATTAGCAGATATTTCAGTGTAGGCAAGTGTGAGAACATTTACTCTTGGCTAAAACTGCATAATCGTCACTGTTTAAAATAAATATAGACTGATCCTTATCAAAGCTATAAGTTAATAAATCAAGAGAATGGAGGATTTTTATCTTTTCATTCTTTGATTATCATTACAATCACTTGAAGAGCTATTGCACAGATCCAGTACACTGACACAAATCTAGTGCAAGTACAGAATGTGTGACTTTGGTTGCACTTTATTTTACAGTACATGTACTTACATACTTACAGTATACTTACAGTGTTCTTACCTAAGAAAACACTGGTAATATAATGTAACTACATGGGGTAGGGTTAGTTATTGTAATTACTATAATAAGTACATAGTATGTACTGTACACGAGGAACAGGACTGTCAAATAAAGTGCTAACGTGACTTTTTATAGCATATGTTACCACTAATAAACAGTATTATTGCTCGTCATGATTATTAGATCCATTTGTTCTGAAGTCTATAATATAAGGCAGAGCTGGGAGCCTAAAAAAGGAGAGCTTGATTATATCACTCTAAAAAGAACAATGAAAACCAACAAAGGGAAGTCACTTAAAGGAAGTTGTATATATTGAAACCCAATACTGTCAATAATTAACTAGCTATGCAAACAAATACTGGTGTTATAAACACACTGCTTACTGTACTGGATACTGTACTACCGGCACACAACCCTTCTTAACCCTTGCAGCAGATCCAGTGCCTCAGAAACAACACAATATGGTCTGGTCTTTTCAGCAGGGAAGGTGTTCTTAAATGAGCTGACGAAAGATGATGTGCATTGAAAAATGTTTTTTTTTACTAATATGCATTTATATTTATACAACATATAATTTGGCCAAGCAGTCTTTCAAAAGTCAAGTATTTCAAAGGGATGTTCCTTTCTATATTTGTGCATGTTCCATCAAATTCACACTGCTTTGATAAAATTATATTTTGATAAAAGTTTTTTCATAAATAAAGTTGCTACCTAAACTACTATAGAATATTTATTAATGACCATAGCTTTTCATATGGAAGAACCTTACTATATATTTGAGATAGTATAGCTAGGTTCGACTGTAATTAGCAGAGAACAAAAGCAATATTTTGGTTATGACTATGCTTGTGCAGAACAAGAATAATCATATAAAATAATAGGCCTATTCTTTAAAGCAATTATTTAAATCATTCTTAAACACAAGCTTGTGAGAGCTAATAAGGGCTCATGACATAAACAAAAGTGATGACTTTTTAATATTTTTAAACGCCCTTTCACACAGATTGGAAACAAGACTATGCCCTCTCACTGATATTCTTATAATAATAACCCCGAACTGAGGCGTCAACTGAGCTTCCTCAATTACAATTGCTTGCTTTATGTTGAATTCTAAACGCTTGTTTTGGTTTCATCGAGCAGAATTCAGCAGAGAGCGACGTACCCCTCGCGTCACCGACGGCGTCCTCAGTGACGGCACAAGCATTTGGGTGGGAGCTCAGCGAAAGCCCACGCGCCAACAAGACATTTCTAATATACTGTGCTGGAGTCCATTTAGGGACGGGCGTAGTGACGTCGGATCTATTTATGGACATTCGCAAATTGCCATCATCTACCGAGAGCGCATGCGCAACGCTCATAATGCCCAGTAGAACGTAGCCATGCGCATATTAAAGAACACTGTAACTGGAGGCAAAATATAGATATAAATGATCTCCTGATGGGGAACGCTTAGCACTTTTTGAAAGCAATTTCTTAATTTCTAAAAAAAAAAAAAAAAGTGTAGTCTCTATTTCATTACAGTATTACACATTAGAGTGTTTGGTCAGGCTGTAATCCATATGTCCATATATCCTAAACTAGAGTCCCAGTGAGGAGTGTCTAATGCACTGGACATGACAAGTCTGTCCGGGCTTTCACTGCAGAGATCTATCCTTGACGTGTGCAGGAGGGAGGGGTTGATTGATGCTTGCTTTGCGTCTCTACATCATGAGAGCAAGAGAGGGATGAGTCACTGACCGGCTGATATAACACAGCACTGCAGCTCCTGTGCACAGCAGCTCTGAGCTCACTGCCAGGAAAGCGCATCTGTCATACTCGGCAGATCATTACTTATACCTGACAACGTGATTCATATTAAACTATAGGCCTATTCAAGGTAGCGATCGTTCAGATTTGAGCTGAATCATATAAAGTGGGAAAGTTATTGTGTTGCAGTATAATGAACAGCAGTGTGGGTCTTACAAATTGCGCAGAAAGGTCAACTGCATCAATGCTTTGTAAAACGAGATGTTTAAAGATGAAAGATGTCGCCTTTATCCTCTGAATTCCCTGAACATTCTATGTACCTGTAAGAAATGCAGTCTTATGCGTGCAATCATCTCCAGATGCGCACAAGTCAGCGAGGCTTGAGTAATTATTATTCACTTGATATATAACAGTCACATTTGCGAACGAAGCACTACTAACAAATGTAAACTTTGAGTGCTCCTAGATCTTTTTTTCACAGGCCTTTAATGACGCTCACCTGCTTTTTTTAATGCGCCTTTTTAGATTAGACAGACTGTCTCAGATGCAGCTGTCGCGCAATAACACAACATGCACATGCATGAGCGCGCACTTGACACCTGTTAACTCTCGAGGCGCGCGCTTCTGATGCGTGCCATTGTTGTGGCTCGCGCTGCGTGGACTACCTCAAAACTCTGACGCCAGGTCGCCATGGAAACTGCTTTAAGCTGCGGCTCTGAGAGAGCAGAAGGTGTGGGATATTTAAGAGTTTCAGAACCACGATCCGCCTGAACAGCGACCGGCTCCTGCAGCACTGCCCAGCTTCGGAGTACAGCCTAATGAACCCTAAACGACTGAGCCAACGACAGATCACTGTCGGATGAACCCTGGAGATCACCACTGACGCGCCGCCGCTCCGACGATTCTGCTCATCCAGCGGTGAGTTGAACAAGTCCCATCTTTATGCGCACTTGAACTCGTTCGACTTGGCTTCTAATCCCACCACATGACTAGATTAATAATCGTCGTTTAATGATGCACCTGGACTGTAGTAGTGTCAAGTTTTGACTTGCGAGTCGCTACAGTGCACTGTTTCCATTGGCAAAGTTTGAAAACCCCTCGAATGATGTTGGACTAGCAACGCAACTCTGATTTATGGAAATAATGAAACAAGTGAATACTTTTAGGGTAGCCGAGTGATGACGACACCATGTTTACCATTAAATCGAATGCACAAATGATTTGTATGCGCTCGTAATGAAAACGCGCTGTTTGATCTAACGTTTGCGTCACGCATGCTGTGATTTGGGAATGTCATATCTGTTTTGCTTCTGACCGATCAGAACTTTAATACACTTGGTCTGTAACTGTACATGGTGATCAAAAAGGGATGCTATTCAACACAATACGGGCAAAATGTGCTCTACGCGTTTAAATGCATCAAGAGGCATCATGCATTAGGAAGAGTCTGTTTTTTTCTTCTGGAAGCTGCTGGCGTGTATCTGTGAATGGATGAGCAGAAGTACTCGGATGACTCACAGCGGTTTATTTGCGGGAGAGTGCGCGCATGAGGGGCGGGGGTGCTGCAGCGTCACACTGGACACATTTATGCGTGTGTCTGTGGACAGATGGCACCGAAAATACTAATACAGCTCTTTTGCACAAGTGCATAATCGCGGGGACAGTTATTTGAGGTGTTTGGCTTTATGTCTCCGTGGGATTGATTGAACTGTCGTGACGTGTCGTTCTATGACGTCATTAGGCACCGGGCCGCGTCACGACGCCCCCTCACCCGGTCTATCCCGCCCACTCAGTCGCGATGGACCGCCAGGTTCGTTGGCTGTCTGGTGTACAGGCTACAGACGCAGATTTTAGTTAGGGGCAGCTGGGTTCATTTTGGTCAAGCATGTTCCCACACATCAGGTTACAGTGAATGTTCAGTGCCACGATGACTGCAGCTCTGTAGAGCATGTCAAGGAAGTAAACATAATGATAAAGGAACTATAATGCCACTGCGCATGTCTAAACATCTGTGACCCTGGACCATCAAACCAGCAGCAATAGCCAACAATACATTGTATGGGTCAAAATTATACAAAAAAAAAATTAAAAAAAAGCCCAAACCATTAGCGCACTAGGAGCAGCAAACTGAAATGCTTTCCCCCAGTGCAGTGCGCACCACTGGAACAGACCGGCACAAACATCCCTGCGACCGGAGACTAGAACTACCTACATGTTTTTTGTTTGTTTGTTTGCTTTTTTACAGATGTAGATCTGAAGATATGAAGGAACCAGTCCCAGGATAGATTCATAAATAATTAAAACGATCCAGTTACTCATAATGTTGTATTAAATGCACTTTTTAGAAACGGGCCCAATTAACTTTTCCTAGCATTGTTATCACTGTTGCTGCTTAGTTAGCTGGCTAATATTACCAGCCAGTCAGATTTCTTATTGGCTAAATTGAAAACAAAAAAACAAGGAAGTAAGTAAATTAATTAATTTAATTTTGTACTTTCCACACATTGTTTTCTGTGGCAAAAGCTGTAATATATAAATGTTATACACTACAAATTGCATATATAGCTTGCTTGTTCACAGTTTTAATGCTGTACGCCAGTTTTAAAATCACTAAATTATATGCACTATTTAATACCAATTTGTCATATAAATAGTCAGCTTTGTGTATTCACTGAAAATTTAACCAATTTTAAATACCACTTAATTAGCTGAAAATGATGTGTGGAGTCTTGGACACTTTATGCTCTTAATGGTGGCAGCTGTATCAGACTCGTATAAAATAACTTTATAACGACAGAAGAATGCACTGAGTGCATAGTGTAAAGTATGTCATTTAGGACACAAATTACATAAAGAGAAACAAGAAAAATGCAATCTAAGTGTTAACAGGTCAGATGCAGAATTTTCTATGTGAACACAAACATTCAGTCTTCTAAACACAGTAACATGTCATTGTCATTTATTTTTCATGTACATCCTCAGTGTACATCCTCATATATTTTTCATGTACATCCTCAAAATTCACCAGCCAAACAGGCCTAGAACAGTTCCTCTACCCGTACCCGTTTTGGGGGCACAAACACTTGCTCCTGATATTGTTCTGAATGAGTTTGATAACTAGTTCCAGTGACGTCACTTTCCAAACCAATCAACAGCAGTCTGGGCCTGACCAATACCCACACTTGTGGTCTTTGTTTCTCATCACTGGTCTGCTTACATCACATATTTCCAGTATTTGACCCAAGTGTTCAAGTGGCCGTAAAGTGAAGGCCCCAAATGCGTATAGAACTTTTGGTTAAGCAATGGGTCACACTTTCAACATAAAGCTGTAAAAGCGCAAGTAAAGTTTTACAGAGCTTTATTTACACATTTTCATTTGTAATAATTTGCACTTATATAAATAAACTTCTAATTGTCTGTTCAGTAGTTTCTGTGTAACAGAAGATTAAAAAAGTACACATACATCTCTGCACTAATAGAATGGTCACCACTTTATGTTTTACTACTAAATTACATGTAATATCTAATTCAGCTGGAAGGTTTTCCTTGAAATCTTACAGTTTATTGGCACATAAGTTCCTGAACATGAAGAATAAAAGGATACTACTGTTCCAGGGCAGTCTTAGTGAGGTGTGGATGTAGTGTGTTAAGGGCACTGAGATTTGGCATTTGTCAGACCTGCGATAGTCTTGCACACGTGTATGGCACTCTCTAGTGGCCAAGACTGAAAGTGTGGGTTTTGGGACAGGCCCTATAAAATGGTCTATAGCAGGAGTGAACAACTCTGGCCCTCCAGATCCACTTTCCTGCAGAGTTTAGTCTAATAAAACAACCCTAATCAGCACATTTGATTACAGCCCAACTAACACATTCAGGGATGGCCTGACACATATGTTTCACTAGCTGGGAATATTTTGCATAACGTGTTCGCCTCCTAACTGAAACAGATGAATACACTTGAATGTGTGTAAAATCATACTTGAATCACACTTCATTATGCTGACAATAAGCCATTTGGCTAAAATCTTAAAGACAATTCTGAGTCATCTGAAATCCAACTAATAGCTCTGTGAAGCAAATTGTTTTTTTTTTGTTTTTTATAAAAGCTTTATTTCACTTTTATTTTTAATGTTTCTTTATTAAGTTTGAGATGCTGAATAATGAGCGAATCTGTTATGACTTATGTATAGAAATGGCATGGTACATGCATAATACTGAGTTAAAAACAGTTTTACATAAATCATTACCAAAAGTGAGCCGTCCAAAAATTCAGAAGTGTACAATGGATGGTTTTTGTCTTTTATGACTAGTCCCACAATGTTCTGGAATGTTCCAGAAAGCACTAGAATATTACAGAATATGTCATAATGTTACAGAAGCTTCTAGAATCTTCTCATCCTTGCAAAAGCAAAACAACTTAAAAAAAAACATGCAAAATTAGTACAAAAACTGATCTGGACTAAACCAATATTTCATAATTAATGATTATATGACATAAGTATTTACCAAAATATTGATGGTACGTGAAAATAAATAGTACAATAATAATTAGCACCACAGAATTACTTGGTGTTTGTTACATTGTGTAACAATTTTATGTTGTCATGTTCAGAACTTGTTTTCTTTCATTTGAACTTGACACTGTTGCAACCTCAGAAGTGAGGAAATGTAGAAAAAAGGAAACCACTCTTATGGCAGCGGAGGGAGAGTTCACCACTGATGTAGTGATGAAATTAAAGATGAGCGAGAGAGAAAGCTCCTGCTGGACCATAAGGAAAGATCACTACAGTGGAAGTGACGAAATTAAAGATAGAAGGGAGAAAGAGCACTCCTGCAGGAGCGGAGGAAGAGATAACTAACTCGGTAGTGATGAAATTAAAGATAGAAGAGAAAAATAGAAAGAGTGCTCCAGGGTAGAGAAGAAAGTAGAGGTGGTAGAGAAAAGAGAACCCTGGTTAAACAGTGGCTGTGGGAGAGAATAAAAGCTTTTGTATTGCAACAAACATGTTAACCTGTTGCTATAAATATAATTTGTTGACTATAGCCTCCTTTATTTCAGGTCAGTAGAAGATTATGTCTTACAGGCTACTTATGAATTATAAGGATAGTGTTCAAGCTGCTATTTAAAGAGGAATCGATTATGGTTGTTGAAGTCTTAGTCGTCAGTGTTATTTTAATTACTTAAGATGTAGATGTGTAAAACAAGGTTCGATGAAGTTAATTATTGCATTCTCATACTCTAAACTAGTGAAGCATGAAAGTTTGTAAGAGTGTCCCTGTCAGATGGAAAATTTATGGGAGGAAAGTATTTACATATATCGTGCAACATAATTTACTAAAGTTTACGCTAGTCAATTTTTACACAAAAAAAGCATGTCTTAACCAACTTTGTGCTTGACATGACTGCATGAATTCTTTCCACTCGTATTAATGTATTTGGAATGCCAGAGGAAGACATTATCCAAACATATCCTTACGATAATTTGTGCTGCTCTTTTTAGATTGCGTTGGTCATTATGTAAATTAGATGTTGCATCTGTGTTCTTTAATTTGCGCATTGTCAGTAGCTCAACTGCAGAACTTTCCACTCCCATCAGTGCTTTTTTGGAATTGTGCTCTCGGGTTAATTTGCCTTGTTTAGTAAATCTGCCCCTATGTGTAGTAGCCGACTTTGTCGAAGCCATTTAATGAAGCAATATTTCTGAGGTCTTCACCCCAGTTCCAAGAGACCCGCTGTCCTGCTTTCCACCCTGCTTTAACACACTTGCCTGTGATTTTTCCAGTGGTCCTAAAGACCTTGGTTAGCCAGTTTAGTTGTGTTTTATTGGGGTTGGAGCTAAACTCTGCAGGACAGTGGGTCTCCAGGAGCAGGGCTGCAGGCCTCTGTTTGGTCTGGGTATCAGTACACATTTGACAAC